ATCTTGCTTGAACAAATCCAACAAAATAATATAAAAGAAAACTATAAAACATTTTCATAAAATTCTGTTTAAAAGTGTCACTGCAACTTTTTTCTACTAAAATAAAGATTTTTATTTGTTGTTTTCCTCCCTCATTGCTTTTAATACTTAATTAACCCCATCAGCTAATGAACAGTTGTGCTGAGCACAGCCAATAAATGGAACACTGTCCTCTTTTGCTAATGTGATTGAAAATTACCCTACAGCTTTCTTTTTTGGTGAATGTGCCTAAGTGGGTCAGAAGAAGCCAAAAATGAAAGGAGACGAAGTAAAGATAAAAAGAGCAGAATGAAATAAATAAAACTAAGACTAAATGACTGCATCTCAGCTCTCAGCAACAATTAAAGCAGGCACTTGGAAGAACAGTAATGAAACCTTTATTTATTTATTTTTTACCGTTTGAAGGGTTTGGGGAAAATTATCTTCAGTTTCCCATAATCTAAATTTTTCAGCGTACTGTACAAAGAAAGGAAACTGCTTCATTGTAAAGTTGAACTAGTTCACATCATTCCAATTTAATTCAGTGAAATGACTGAGCCAAGGAGATTTGCTAGCAAAAATAAATAATAATAATACAAAAATTAATGTTAATTAAAGATATGATGGCATGTAGAGTGTATGCATGGAGGATAAAAGCTGTAACAACAGCGTAGTAGGAAGAGATTTAGAGTACGATAGGACTCTCTCACCCCCCCCCCCCCCCCCAAACAAAAAAAAAAAAAACAATAGCCAAGTAATGTAGCAATTCAAATTAAATGGATAACTCCAGGTCAACCAAAACAGCTTAGGTCCCTCTTGAAAATGAGTCCCTGTGGCTCAGTGAGGCTAGCCTGTATAAATAAAGGTTGAATGAATGAATTAGACTGTACTGACTAGTAGTCCCTCGATTATCATGGGAGTTACGTTCCACACACCCCTGCAATAAATGAAAAACCACCAAGTATGAACGTTATATTTTAAGGCTTTATAAACCCTTCCCACACTCTTGCAATGTTCTAAACTTTTAAACCTACATAATTTTAACAACATGTGTATATGTACTGTACAGTAGCTACTGCAAAATTGTATACCACCAGCCTTGGTCCGGTTCTGGTCAGGTTCTGATCGGCTCTCTGCAGTCGTTGAGTACCAGATTTTTTTTTTAGAGAGCCGGACCTTCAGAGAACCAGCACAAAACCACACAATGGTTCAGATCAAGTCCAAATAATCTAGAGTGATCCGGTTGAAAAAAGTACAGGTGAGCTCCAGAGAAGACACCGGAACTCCAAGCAACGCCTCCACACTCGAGAGGCTTCCTGGGCTGGCAAGCTGCACTCAGATTGACCGATGAGGCTCGAACTAGTTCTGGTCCGGTTCTGATTGGCTCTCTGCAGTCACTGAGTGCCGAAGTCACTATAAGGACTGAACTTTTTAGTCTGGTTCGGATCGGATCAAAACTTTTTTTCCATTTTGGCAGAAAGCAGCGGACTGGAAGCACTGCTGAATTCTGGAAAGTGCACTGTTGCCTTGTGGGTAATGCAATTCTTTTGGACTGGCAATTAAGTGCAGAACCACTAGACTGAGGAACAGCTTCTACCCTGAAGCTGTGAGACTCATAAATCCCTAATCAGGATTATCACTGTGAAAAAACAAAACAAAAATCAATGTAATGCCACTTGGATTGTTGATATGTGCTGCTGATAATCCATGCTGCTGATCTCATGCTGCTGATTATTTTTTGCTGCTGTATTCATTCATTCATGCTCATCTACTCACACAGACTCACGTTTGTGTTGTTGTTGTTCAGCGTATTGATTTGCACTATTAGTGCTTAGCGTATTCTTAGTTTAGCATATTTCTAAGTATATATCTTAGATCTTATTACAGTTTGTTTTACAATTTATACTTTTGCTGTTGTTGGATGTAACTGGGACCTTGAGTACACAATTTCATTCTACCTCATGTACCACATGTGATGCAAATGACAATAAAGAACCTTGAACCTTGATACTGTGTAGGCTTATCGAAAGAAAACTACAAAATAGCGGCGCCTGTCCAAATTTTTATTTTTTGTCATTCGTTTTTTCCCTCCACATCAGTACAGTAATATTACTGTAAAGTCGAGAATCGTGTCTTATTCTGTAATATTTTTTTCCCCGCAATATTACTGTACGTTCCAAACTGCGATAGAGCGAGTCCACGAAAGTCAAACCGCAAAGTTTCCATGCTGCTGATCACATGCTGCTGATCTCATGCTGCTGTATTCATTTATACCCATCTACTCACCACAGACTCATGTTTGGGCTGTTGCTTAATGCATTGTATTATTTTACATTATTAGTGTTTACCTTATTGTTTAGCATTCGTTTAGCATATATCAGTGTCTATGATTCTTATATACTATTTATTTTTATACATTTTTTGCTATTTTTGGTTGTAACTGGGACCCTGAGTACATAATTTCCTTCCACCTCATGTACCACATGTGATGCGAATGACAATAAAGCTACTTGAACTTGAACTTGAAGTAGCGGGGGACTACTGTAAACATTTATTTTAATGTTGTTTTTAAGCATAAAGTTGAGGTACAAAAACATTATGGGTTAATATTTTAAGTAACAATAGTTGGTTTGGAAAATAAATAAATAAATAAAATATTATTATTTTGTATTTCTCTTGTATGATATTTAATTATTGTCTTAGCAGTAAATGTTTTAATGCTTTGCTCCTTGTAGAAAGCATCTGTGGGTACTAAGATATTTCCCATTCCTCTCGTGTGTCCGAGTTTTTTAATGATGATGATTCAGACAGGGCTGATGCAGGGTGTCAGTTCAGACATAACTAACAGAACATGTGATTCCACTGAGGCGTTTCTGCTCTGATTATGCTCCAGCACGACTGAGATTATCCTAACATTATGACCTATAGTGATTTTTTGAAAACGCTCTAACACACTCAAACCACTGCTCAAAATCAGCCTCATTGTTTCTGAACGTTTTGTCAGAAATAGACTAAATAACTGGCCGACCGACCTTCAGTTCCTGCAGCCCGATTCTTGAGTTTACGTCTTCTGTGTCTGTTAAGCTCTGCTCTCGAGTGAATTTTAACTTCTTGTTTTATAGAGCAACTTGTAGCAAAAAAAACAACAACAAAAAACTGTTTTGTGGTGTAATCAGGCATGTTGATCACATTTCCTTTATTCCATTACCTTTCAGTATTCCCATCCCCCCATTTCTTTTTCATTTTATTATTTTTATTTTTTACAACTGATGGCCCTTGAATAGCCCGTTTGTTCCTTTCCCACATGTTTTGACATTACTCATTAAAACTCTCAGGCTATTGACATCACCATCAAACGATCACAGTGTGAACTAAAAGAGGTTGTAGCCTGGGGACAACTGTTTTAAATGCTATCTACGTTTTATTTCAATTATAGCAAGGATCACAGAAACTGCCAGCGTGATAACAAACCTGCTGACAGCTCGTCCCTCAGGCCAGGAAATGAGTTGTATGACGATTGATGTCATCTAAGGTTAAACGTCTATTTTGATGGAGCATTTTTCAAAGGCAGATATATTTAGCTATTGTTCTAACTCCCCTTTTCCTGTCATTAACTTACCGTAAGAAGATGATAGTATAGCTCATAATATTTAGTTAGCTCTGAGCCATTTAGGCTCCATTTGGGCACCCAGAATGAAAAGTAAACTTTGTATGTTGTTTTGATTGATTAATTTTTAAGTCATAAAGTTGAATGTGAAACATTGTTTTTAACAGCTTGTGCAAGTTTAACAGATTAGCTGTTATAATGTTAGTTTTAAAAGAGACTATTTGATGGTGTAATAAAAGAAACATTTGTAGAAAGGCTAATCATAGACCCTGTTTGATAGCAGAAGATTTTTATGAAACTGAAGGAAACCTTGAAGGAGTTCTGCTCTGCTTGAAGAAAGAAATTGTTTAATTACTTTTTAAAAAAGAAATAGTTCACCATTGTTTTAAAGAATATATAAAAATAAAGAAATGAGAGATTTTACAGTCTGTTCAAGATTCTTTGTGTCAAAATGTCCACAATGTCTGCTGCCTCTCAGCGAGTAAGTTGCCGGATCGAATCCCGGTTTGTGTCCTTTCTGGGTGGAGTTTGCATGTCCTCTCTGTGCATGCGTGGGTTTTCTCCAGGTACTCCGGTTTCCTCCCACAGACCAAAAACATGCATGTTAGTCTGATTGGTAACTCTAAATTGTCCCTAGGTGTGAGTGAGAGAGTGAATGGTTGTTTGTCTTGTTTGTCTCTATGTGGCCCTGTGATGGACTTGCGACCCGTCCAGGGTGTACCCCGCCCCTCGCACAGTGATTGCTGGACATGGGCACCGGCGACCCCCGTGACCCAAAAATGGAATAAGTGGGTAAAGATAATGGATGGATGTTAACCCCATGTGTCTTTGAAAATATATTAATCTGGACCAAGACTTTGATTCAGCATCGGAACCCATGACACGAGGACGTTTTTTCTCTCAGTGGTCAGGAGACGGTGTCTGCTGGATATTCTCCTCCCTGCTGTGTTTAGTAATAATGAATGACAGCTAATGAACACCACTGCTGTGTCTGGTTTCCTCTCTGAATCCCCTTTTCCCAACCAGTTTGCTGGTGGCTATCTGGGAGATGAGAGGAATGGGATGAGGGGCAAAGAGAGTGAAACAGAAGGAGAAAAGGACACAGCAGGGGGGGGCTGTCACACCTTGTAGCATGCCAACACCGAGGTGGGGGTCTCCAACGTTTCAGCGCAGACAGATCAAAGCGAGGTGTTGCACGGAGGTGAAGGGCAGGTGAAGATACTTTGTTCATCACAGCTGCGTGCATGGATCCAGCGATTATTAGTCCCCACAGCAAAGCATTTGTTTCTCCTCAGTTTAATTTGTCACATAACTTTATACGAGCTGTTTTCATGTTTCATTAACCGTCTTCTGTGTTTGTGTCTCTGATTTTCAGCCACAGGGATCTAAAGCCAGAGAACCTGTTGCTAGATGAGAAGAACAACATCAGGATAGCAGACTTTGGCATGGCATCCCTACAGGTTGGAGACAGTCTGTTGGAAACCAGCTGTGGGTAAGCATTATTAGAAATATTGCAATGCCTTTTTTCAGTACATTAACAGTGACTGGCAACATCCATCCATCATCTTTACCCGCTTCTTCCGGGTCGCGGGGATCACTGGTGCCCATTTCCAGCCATCACTGTGCGAGGGGCAGGGGACACCCTTGATAGGTCTCCAGTCCATCGCAGGGACACACAGAGACAAACAAGACAAACAACCACTCACACCTAGGGACAATTTAAAGTTATCAGCCTAACATTCATGTTTTTGGTCTGTGGGAGGAAACCGGAGTACCCGGAGAAAACCCACGCATGCACGGAGAGAGCATGCAAACTCCACCCAGAAAGGCCCCTCTGGCTGGGATTTGAACTGGGGCAACCAGCTCGCTGAGAGGCAGCAGCTCTACCAACTGCGCCACCGTGCTGCCCTGAATGCATTAACAATCTCATGAAATGTTAAACTTTTTTCTGAAGGTGAGTAATATGTTGAAGTTAAAGGGGGATGATTAATGTACAGAAAAAAACAACCTATTATTAACCGAAGGATCAGTGGGGAAATGAGATCCACATGTTTGTTTCTTGGGAACAGTTTTGCTCTTTTCTGATTGTTTCTTGTGGCTCAGAGCAGGGACAGGGCCTTGGTCAAACATTACTGCCCTCTATCCACCCATCTCACTGACGGTTTATGATCTAGGCTTTACGATCCCACCACGCTCGTCAATCCTGTGACCATAATAAATTTGCTTGCAGGAAAAGTCACTGGATGGCAGCAATCAAAAGAGAAGGTTGAAGTCTCTATACCTGAAGAGTGCTTTTATTTAACCCCGAGCTGTAGGGGACTGGGTGGATGGTGAAAGTTTATCAGCGTTTGTTTCTAGAAACCATAAAAACAAAAAAGGATTAACACACATTTTTTCTCCAAAGAGAGTAATTGCAATTGTTTTATTTTATGAAAGTCTTATGAAATATAAATAGAACCATGTAAGCTTGACTTTATTCTTTAATCGAACTGTAGTGCATCATTACTCAACTTTTGATCCTTTTATTGGTATTTGGTTAGTACTGTGTCACTTGTAATTTGGCAGTCATCTACAGTTTGAACACACACTGTGACTGATCCTGTCTTTTAATTGAAATGGTGCATTAAAAAGCAGCCAATATAAAAATAAAAAAAAAAAAATAATAAAAATAACTGTAACAGCCCACTGCAAGCCAAGAAAACTGTTTGTCAAACAGTCCAAGGCACTGAAACAAGAATTAGGACTTGGCCTTTTTAGTTAATAAATATTGCATTGTCTTTCTTTTTATTTTAGCATTAAATTGTGGTCAATTTTCTTTGGAGCACTGAGTATTGTGCTGAATAATAACTCAATTCAACTCAACTCAGTGAAAAGCCTGACTGTCACAGGAAGTGTCTTTAGGGAAACAGGTGTAGTGCAACAACACTGTTCTGCCCCAAAAGTCTTTCAAATGGCTTAATATGTTCAGGAT